CACACACACACACACACACACACACACACACACACACACACACACACCTTCCGAGCTAGGCTAAGCCGAGGCAGGGATTCAGTTGCCAATTTACAGTGCTGCAGAGGGTCGGAGAGACGAGATGAGAATTCAGCAAATGACTTGCTCAAGGACGAATAAAACTCCAATTTCTGCCGCCCGTCTGTCATCGCCCTGCTCGACTGTGTTCCTCTCAAACTGTAATTGGACATGGACCGACGAGTGAAGGGAACAAATTTCCGCAGAAACTTAACAACGGAGGGGAGATGGGAAGAGAGGAGAAAACGGCGTCTTGACGATTATAGCCATCAATCACCGCTGAGGGGGAGGAATTATAGAAGCTTTGTGGAAGTGACTGAACACAATCTGATGACTTGTGCCATCTGCGACTGAGTGGGCCGCTGTTTTAATCAACATGGTGCCATGACGATGATTAGTCTCATTCAGAGAGGAATTCCCACGTCGGCGAGCGAGGGACTCGGCTGAGCAGCCATTCTCAAACATTTTCAAACATGTTGTGTGTAATTACACCTCTGTACAAAAGGTTAACGTGCGTGCATGTTCAGTATTTATGTGTCCCACGAGGCACAGCTGGCTTATGTAACCCCCCCCCCCCATCATCATCATCATCTCATGCTGCTCCTGTCACAGATGCCTCTCATTACATTACCCCATCAGAGGGAAATTATTAATCACAAAATTCACAGTCTCGCTCTCAGTGCTCCCGTGTTCTTGTAAAGCTGTCAATCCTCTCCGCCTGCGCTGACAGAGGGCTCATTTAGCCGCTGCTGGTCTCCTGAGGATACACAGGAAGTAGGGAGGAGAGGCTTGGCACTGGAAAGGGTTCGCACATCATTCAGTTCTCACTCCACAAAAACACCATCGTGTCATTTCACCGATGTGATGTCAAAAGGAAAAGAAAAACACATCCTTCACCGTTTCTGCATCCTATTTACAAGATCAGTTTGCTTACTCTGTAAATGGTTATGAGTAAGAGAAATGATTTAAGGGATTCCCACATTCACTTGGACAAGACGTCTAAAATACTTTGAGAACAACACACACGTAACTATTTTAAATTGTCACTTACTTAAATCAGGGGTTTCCAATCTTTTTGGCGTATGACCGTGTAAAATGGAGGAATTCTTCTGACCAGTTTTCATAAGTTGTGATCAGATGACGTATTTTATGTTTGAGAACAAAATGTAAAAAAATCTCTGAAGCTTCTGTTAACCACAGACCTTATTTCAAGCAACCAAAAACCCGCTGACTTTGAGACGTGCGAACTGGAAGTGCAAAAATGCTGACTCATTAACAGGTTTTTGGACTAATTCCTGGGATAGTGATAGTCGTATTTTTCGTAAGTATTTTTTTGAAAGTACCTGTCCTTTTCCAAACAGATTCCAATGATGTCTTTTCAGATTATTCTGTGCAACGAACCGCCTGCCCGTCAGGTTTCCTGTCACAGTTTCACACTATTCCACTGATCAACTGTCAAGAACAACAAATGAGGCAACAAAGACAGTGAAGGAGAAGACCACAAGCTAGTAAGCACGGATGTAAACTATTCAGGTCTCCAACTTTTAAGAAATATTGGCTTCGCAAATGTTTTATGAGGAAAGAAATGCTCGTTAGCGCTGAAGGATATGCACAAGCTCCTGGCTTTGAGTCTTCTGCATGCATTTTAATATTAAGAGGGAGACCTCACAACCATCACAAGACAAAAGTACATGAATGGTGATTATAGAATAAAAATATATTGATTACTATTAGTTACAACAGGTTTGACTTATCTGTGAGAGGAGGAGACACAATGAGCTCCTACAGAAGAGCCTCTGAGTCACAAGACAATCAAAAAAATCAAACATATGATATGATAAAAATACGGAGTAACACTGAGGGTTTTCCTTGGGATGTAATATGTTGATGATAACGACAGAGAAGGCCATGTGGATGAAGCATAGACCTTTCCAGTGCAATTCTGTTGCTAGGGAAACAGCTTTGGTCCAAGTTTACTTCCTGTCAGCTTCTGCTTTAAACATTGCAACAGAAAATACAAAGGGGCACAGTTGGGACTTCACCATGTGGGGTGAGACAAAGAGAAAACCTGTGAAAACCGCGCCAAAACCCCATCAGGTGTCAAAAATCTCACCTGAACGTGAGATTTGGTTTGAACCACAACACTAGTGCCTCCTCGGACGAGCCCCACGGGAACCCGAGGGAGTCCCTGTGACAGGGCCAGCACGTCACCAAGGCCATAAACACTGGCGCATACCCTCTCACTGCGCCTTCCCATTACAATTTCCATTGCTGCAAAGGGGTAACAACTGTGTTACCTGAACAACTGAGATGTCCTAAACTTGCTAGGCGACCAACAGACTGTTTGTGAGTTCACGAACACACGGATAACTTTCCCAGTGCTGCCCCACTCTAACCTGCAGAAGGAAGATTATAATTCCTGGATTCTTCAAGTCGACATTTGAGTTCGCCAATCGGGCTTCTGTGTGATGAAGTTACAGTTACTGTACTGCTGCGGTGAGGATCTACTTTGCTTTAAGTGCTTTCCTCTTCTTTTCCTACTCTCTCTCACACTCACGCTCACGCACACACACACACACACACGGCGCGTGATTACGTCGTTGGTCATGCACCTCTGAATTTTTGTAACTTGGTGCACGCAGCACGCACGATCACATGGCTGTCAGAAACGCCTCCGTACATACTCGGAGCTCGCGGGAAATACTACTTTAACTATTGACATTTTGACTGAATTTTTAGACTTAATCCACAGTTTGGTCTTTGGTCTCTGATCCCAGGGTGGTGCCCTGGGATTATTAATCTATGTTAATAATCCTATTAATATCATTAATTACATTTTTATGCTTGCTAATAACCAAACCCGCTCCTGCCAGATCGCAACAGCACATTTAGAATGTTTGGAAAGGTCTAAAAGTTGGTTTGTGTTTCAATAAAACAAATAAATGAAACATGTTCTTACCTGGGACACTTGCAGTTGACCCAGTCATGAGCGGCCTCCAGTGGCGACGCACCCTTTCCCTTGAGAGATGGCAGCTTTGGTAATGTAACTGGTAAGTCCTCTTCAGGGACAGCAACTGGACCACAAGAACCACAATGCACTACAGGGATGGGTGTGCCCCAGTATCTCTGCCTTGATATCAACCAGTCCCTGAGCTTGGAGCTGGTAAGGTGGCCGCCAACCTTCTGCTCGCTAGCCTTCTGGGTAACGGAGTCAAATGCCCGCTCTCTGGTGAGGCCTGAGAACTACAGAGAGAAGAGGACAAACGAGCGATTCTTAATCAATTCTTAATTTCCTGTAGAAGCTAAAGAGAGAAGCTGTAGTAGAGATGCCGCAAAATCAAAGTTTAATAATCTTGAGTCATTTTATCAATGTTGAGGTCATCATCAACAGTGCCGACCTCATCAGAGTTGATCAGCGTTTGTCTCCCGTCTTCATCACTTTTCAGTACAGCTGTCCACCTCAGATTCAGAGCTGTGGCCACAGACAGATCCTCCTCACTACAGTCTGGGATACCTGTCAGACACAGACGCAGCACGAATACGTGACAGTAAAAAGACAATATGGACGCCCAGACAATCGATCTCTTGAGAGAGTAAAAAAGGAAACCTCTCTAAGCATGTTGTGATGTGACGAATCGTTAACGATCCCTTGGGTTCCACCTCCACTCTGTGAGACAAACACCCACTGGTTTCACATCATCATGGCATCCACAATACTGCATGGTAAAGACATATCGTTAAAGTGTCCATCTTCAACATGCTAGGAGTGTTGAGGCAGCATCTTTTTGCACAATCAAATCCACAAAGACGTTTTTTCTGTTCCTCATCTTTATTTACATCTTCTCATTTTTGTTTGGTACAGATTTAATGAGGGAAAATCAAAAAGGGATAATGATTATTCATCTCATCAATGGACATCCTGTGCTCCCGTTTGATCAAGAGTCAGCCTCCGTCTATAATAACAGCTCACAGATGAATACAAATGACTTTCTTACTTAACCGCTACAATTTCTAGGTGATTGTTAAACCCCACCCACACGCACACACATCAATACACTCACCGATCACAGTGTCCAGATAGCCGTCAAACGCCTCCCTGTGGGATATGACCAGGGGAACCTCGTGACCGGTGAACAGGTTTTGAGCAGTGACCTCTGTGAGGGAGTCTAAGGAGCAGAGAGCAGGAGGTGTGAGAGAGGCAGCGCTGCTTCCCCTGGTAGCTCATTACAATCATTCACCACTTAGACAGAGAGAACATCAAGGGAATCCCAATTAACATAGACTCAGTCCACTGAGACAACTACATCCATACCGTGGCAGTGTATAGCTAAATAAAACAAATCTACGTGAGCAAAGTTCAGAACATGCATCCATACCGGTGATATAGAACAAATGTAGACAAATATGTACAAATTATTGATGAAATGTCCCAAAAAAATTTTTTGTTCCTTCTTTATATGAGAATTCATTTTTCACTATTAGCACAACTTTTGTTCATCAGGCGCTGGTCAATAAAGAACACACATAAGATGCAAAAGATCACCGTTTCAAGTTATGAGAGCTTGCAGGTGTAGACGAGTAAGCCGCTGAATTATGTCGCTGATATAGGAAAAATCGGAATGTGCGTCTTTCCCCCTCCTCCAAAGCAGGAAGTCATAAATGTTGACGGACCCAAACGCAGACGGGCATCAGAGACGCTCACCTTTGCCTGGCTGGAAGGCTTTCTCCAAAGCCGAGCGCACTGCGCTTCTACCGTGCAGCAGTCTGTGGGAGGGCAGGACGGCCAGGTAAGCCGCTCCGAACACCGTCTCTGGGGAGGAGCTGTAGGCCGACAGGGTCTCCCCCGTCTCCTCCCCGTTCACCTAGGAGACAACAGAAGACGCATGTGGGAACCTCTCCGGTCCAGATGCACGGAAGACGATCTAATGAGGACGACCCGCTGGCTCCTCAGGCCGCCACACAAAGTGGTTTATTCTAAAATAAGATGGCGACCATATTAGACACATTACAGGGTAAGTTTCAGTCATTTCAAAAATATACCGCATCAGAATTTTAGGCTATACTGATTAGTACTGAAACAATCCGATCATCATTTAGCCAGTGGAGAAAAAGTAACATTTTAAATAATTTACTAATAGTTGTATTTATTTATCTATCAAGTAAAAAAACCTTTTTCTAATGTATACTTCTGTTTTTAGCTGCTCCCAAATGACTTTTATCACAAATTCACTTTTATGTATTTATTAATCAGTGTATTCATCAACATTGAGGTTAACACTGAATCTAATTATGACACCGCATCAAAATATAAATCTCCAATGGATCCTTTATTCCCTCCATACAGGCAACATGCATAACAACGTATAAAAAGCATTTTTCTGCCATAATCAAGACATTGTAATCCTATACGAGTGCAATACAAGATGGATGCCACCCGTATGTAAACATTCACATTTGAGTTTAAATATTTAACCCTTGCAAACTTCCACCAATCTTGTTCATCAGCAATACATTTAACAAATTCTGACGACGAGTTCTAGCCAATCAGAGGCAGAAAGGGGCGTGGCTTCATCAAATGCAGAACTGACGATGGCTCTGAAAGAGTTAACTTGGCATGCGGATAAGAGGGCCCTGCAACATTTCCAAAAAACTGTCTTGCACACTTTTGCTGCTATAGTTGTGTTATTGGTTAAGCTAACGTTGCCTACATCACGTACGTTATAAATGAAAATGAAGCACATACGTCTATGCGTGACGACACTTTTCATTCATTGCACTTTAACTCGTTGTAATGCTTCCACTTCACTGTCTTTGTACTTAATTGTGACCAAGTATCGTCTATGGAGAGAATGATAATAATAAATTCTACCCTGAACCATGAACCTACAGCCACACGGAGCTGCTAGCTTCACTGTAGTCTTGTTTGTTTGTTGATCAGACGAAGTAAAGCTGTTTCAAGGCATCAATAGTGGGATCCGTTACCTTGTGATGAGTATTTGTCAGAGAATAAATTATCATCAAATAACCTGATAAATTGTCAGTTGGAGCCTTAACATGCCACATGTGCGTAGCTCTTTGATACATAATGAGGCTACAATGTCTTTAATCCTATAATTATTTAGAGATGAAACACTCATTCTGGGGGTTCTGGGGTAATGAGTAGATGTCATGTCGTAGAGGAGATACTCGTACATAGGCCCCTGGGGAGATAATTCAGTGCAGAGTTCCTGTGACAATGTATGATGATGTAATATGAGACAAGCAGCCATCCAATTAACTTAACGGCTCCTGGTTTTAACTTTAATTATGCATTCTGCCAGAGAAACACCCTCTCATATACGTAAAGAAACACAAAATCACTCTCACATCTTCTAACTCTATAAATAAGATTTTTTAAAGTAAGGGACTGACTTGAATCACCATTTTTCTGATTATATTTCAAGAAACGGTTTAACAAGGGTGCTCACGGGGCTCTCAGTGGGCTTTTTGCTAAAAGACAAACGTGTGAAGAACTGTTAATATGGCTTTGAGAAAACTCAACAGAAACTAACCGGTAACATCATCTCTGTGGGAAAATGGCCACTTGCAGATGGATGCACCCGCTGAATGTGAACAACAAAAGTGGAAAATGTTATGTTTGGGTGCATGATTTCGAATACAAATACATAAATAAACAGAGGAATCCAAAATAAAGCAAGCAATCACTGCTTTGGGGACAAAGAGATGAGAAACCGAGGCCGGGAAGCGGCAGCAACAGGGAAACACTAGGTGGAAAAAGGTCGAGAGATTGAAAGGAAGGGAGAATGATGAATGAATAAAAAGTGTGACGGGGGAAGGGAGCGGAGATGCACCTTGAGCTTGAAATCGAAGTAGCAGCCGGTGCACTCTCCAATCCAGTTTGCCTGCATGGCTTTGACACCGTACCACTCCGGAAGGTCTGCCAGGGCGTCCAGGAGAGGCTGGAGGAGGGAGACGGCAATTAATTCACAACTTTTCTTCTTTGTACAAGTTTTAAAAAGGGCTTATTTTCCACTTCACTGTGGAAAAGAGATCATTTTTGAAGGGGGGCCGGGGTTGTCTACGATAATGCAATTGACTTCAACTCAGTGTGGCCTCTTTCAAAGCCTGGCCAATTTATTTTGACAAAGCAGCAGAGCCGACCAGGTCACATTATGCAGACGTAGAGGGATTTTCAAAAATCCTGACCTCCAATCGCCCTACTTTCTTTGATATCACAAGGCAATCGCCTTTAAAGTGCACTCTCTCTCTCACACACACACACACACACACACACCACAACAGTTATTCTGCATGATTAAAGGAAGCTATGCATATCAACGAGGCTCAGGTCAAAAAGCCACAGCTGGGCTGAGGCCAGAGATGTTCAAACTCTCCATTTCCTTCTCTGTCTGTCGCAATCTATTACCCAAAAACCCTCCTCACTTGTGCCACTCAGCATGCAGTACCTCATCACGGCAATATCAATACAAACATAAACGCTGGCTATAGTCGCCCACCAGCCAAACACGGAGTGTGTGTCAGTTCTGGGTTTGCTCCAGAGCAGATAGAAGACAGAGAATCTGTGTCGGCACGAAGGAGACGTTCAGCAAAACAAAGACGTTAACAGCAAAGACAGGAACGCAATGACAGACGACCAGCAACGGCCCTAAAGAGAGAGGAAGCAAATGTTTTCACTTTCCTGGATTAGAAAATATAGTTTGGCAGAGATGCAGGAGTCTCCATGGCAACTAAGAAAAGCTTGAGAGAAAAAGGATGGCAGAGCAATAACCAAGGAGTGTGTGTGTGTGTGTGTGTGAGAGAGAGAGAGAGAAAGGGACATCTAGTACAATAACAACAATATTACACAATACTGCGATACAAATGGTTCAGGGATTTGAACCAGCAACCTCAAAGTCACAAGTTGTTTTTGCTTAATGACACAAAACTCCTGAAGAAGCCGTGTTCATATATGAGAGACAACAGAGCTGAACAACACGATGAGTTCTCAGCTGGTGAATCATTCAGATGTCAGTGCAGTGCGATGGCTGCACGTGTGCAAAAAGTGTGATTATGTATGAAATTGAAAGCGTGATCGTTTTGCATCCACTTCCAAAAAAACCATCCGTCTTAGTAATAATATGCAGTCGTCTGTGTCCTGGAACAAACAATATGGTTACGATTTATGATGAAACTCCATCAGTATAACGTGGAACCACCTGACAGCTGAATAAATATTGTCTGAGGTTAATGTTGTCTAACGGACTTGAACACGTGTATGGGCGAGCGGAGCACGCACGGGAAATCAGGCCAGTTACAACACGCCGCGGTTTCACGCGCTCCTCCTTTCGTTCCATCTGTCTTTCTCACGTCTTCCCCCCCCGACACCTTCCTCTTCCTTCCTTCCCACTTCTCTATTCGTCAGAGAAAATTAGACATGCAGGAACACATTGTCACAGTAGGCTGCTTCCACCTCCTCTCACACCTCTGACATGGACAAGCATGTTCGACTTCAGCGCTGCGGCTAAAACTGGAGTGCCGCCGACTGTGGACAAATGGATGTTTTAATCAAAATGACAACATCGGGAAAGAAATTAACAAACGCTTAAAGGACAAATGAGTGTTTTTGCACATTTTAACCAATTTATAAGAAATCACATATTAATTATTGCCGACCTTTTCTCAAAGCACAGAGGAAGTTGTTTAGATTGATTTCACACCTACCAGGCCGGCTTTGGTCTCCATGTTATTGTTATGTATATTATGTTATTTCAGGACGATATGACACAAAAACCTGCTTATGCCACACTTTGCTCTGCCTTTCCTTCTCATGGCATCAGTTTGATTTGAAACGAGTAGAGCCGAGACTACAGTCGATGATTTGATTCAACAAAGACTCAAATATGAGCATTTGCTGCTTTTCTATGTTTTATATAATTGTAATCTGAATGTCTTTGGGTTTTGGACCGACAGTCAGACAAAACAAGACATTTGAAAATGTCCCCGTGGGCTTTAGGAAATTGTGATGAGCATGTTCACAGACCAAAATCAGTAATTATGATATTCTAATAATAATTAAATAATCAGCCCTAAAAACAAGAAATATGACAATGATACAATTCTACCAGAATGTTGCTCAACTTGGAAAACTCTCGCAGCAGGTCTGTGCTGTGCAGCAAAGGCGGAGCTTCTCATCAGCCGGGCCAGGTCGCCTGGTGACATTACTCCGACTCCGCTGGTCTCTCTCTACTTGGTTGGGAGACGCTAAGAACGACGACGTCCGGGGGTCTGATTGCAGAACGAGAGAAGCAGGGCTGCAGCTGCCGCTACTGAAGCGTCAGCCATGATTGTTATCAGAGGGGTCCGCTGCTCATTTTGGCCCACATGAAGCTGCTGGCCCCGCCATTCAGACCTGCCACTTGTCCCGTACACACACACATACAGCACGCTCTCCGTCACTCACTCACTCACTCACAGACACACCAATGGCGTACCTTGGCATAGTTTGTAGTCTTGATGAACCATTGTGTGAGCAGCTTCTGCTCCACCAGGGCACCAGACCTCCAGGAGAGACCGTTTTCATCCACCTGCTCATCAGCCAGCACTGTCTGATCAACAGGGTCCCAGTTCACCACAGCCTGGATAACACAAACACACAGATTTAGATGAACACACACACACGCACACACACACAGATAAATTGAAAATGCAGAGCTGAGGAAGTAATTTGGATTTAATAGTCGGTCCAAAGGCTTACTTCGAGGTCGTCCCATTTGATTAAACACAATCAAAGGGCTTCTACCGAGCGCTCCCTTTTTCAGTTCATTCATTTTCATTCAGGAGTAACTGGTGAGCTGCTTCAATCATTTCTGTAACTGTCAGCGACCTCAAACCTAAACCAATCATATTATTCCTTTCAAAAAACTAGGATAAGCACTTTAGTCAAAAGCCGTTCCTACCTCTTTCTGATAGGCCAGTCCTGCTTCAAAGAGCTTGATAAACAGATACTGAGTCCACCTGTAGTAGTCTGGAAGGCAAGTGGTCACTTCCTGTTAGGAAAAAAAGCCAGAGTTGTGTCAGCCTTGTGTGGTGTGACGCACGCACGCACGCACCCACACACACACACACACACACACACTCTCTAAAGCCTCAGCTCCTGCTCACCCGGTCCCAGTTGAAGCAAAGGCCGAGGCTGTCCAGCTGCTCCCGCATGGACTGGATATTACTGAGGAGACGGCACACAACAGCAACGTTACGGTTTGTATAAACGACGAAGGCTCTGATCAACAGGTGTGATATTTCAGATACCTTTTAGTCCACTCCTCTGGGTCCAGTCCTCTCTCAATGGCTGCATTTTCAGCTGGAAGTCCAAAAGCATCCCAACCCATTGGATTCAACACCTGTGGATGTAGTTCTGTATTAGCGGTGAAATCGCTCGTGCAAACAACAATTTTGATAATTGATTCATTTGATTTATTCAACATGCAAAGAAAATCAAACATCCCCCATTTTCAGCTTCATTAAACACGAAGATTTGCTGCTTTTCTCTTTTTTTGTTGACAACAAAAGCATTACTTTACAAAAAAGCTATTTTGTAATGGTTATCACTATTTTATAAACTAAAATGATTTAAACGAACGACAGATCAACCCTTTATTAAGTCCATTTGAAGTTTACAACAATGTTTACTGGACATTCTACACACGTTTCAAGACACGAAAATACTGATTAATAATTTGTGTTCAACTAGTGTTGCATTCAAAGTCCAACTAGCTGGTTAAAGCGTCTTAAAATTATAAATACTCCAATAAAAAGTCCAGAATCAATGAATATGAAACTTGAATATGTAAATATCACATTATCTGCTGGACACAAGAGGCTTCCTACTTCATTGAAAAGCCTCAGTGTGTATACACTCGGGGCGTCGTGTTGACCATGACATGCTGCTGAAGTAGTTGTTATATTTATTTACACATATTAAAATGAGATTCAAAGTAAGAGGATACGTTGGCATGTGCCAGATTTAAATGTTTCATTGCAGGAGGTAATTCATTCTGCAAAATAGCACCGGGTTCCCCTCACTGCAGCACATGTTGACCCCTACATGATAATGTCTCTGCTGTGATCTCACCTCCATTACATTCTGTGGCTAATGCATGCAGATCAACTACAATTTCCATGTAATTGCAGCCGTTGCATGATGTAAGCTTCGAATGGAAGACCAGGATGTGAAAGCTTTAAGCCTGCAATCACGTAGTAAGCTGTTTCACACACACAGTGTCCTAAACAACATCCCAATCTACCGTCGCCTCCTCTCTTTGTTTGCTATCCTGCTCTGTCCTTTGCGTCCACATCGCCGTTTAGCCTACACCCTCCTTTAAATGAATCCCCGTCGAAGTGGTCGACGTCTCTCTCACTCGTCTCGTTCTCCCTTCAGAGCGTCGGCTGTGTTTGTTATGTGCTCACAGAGAAAGAACATGAACCGAGATGAAAGCCCAGGAGTGGAAGGCGTGAGTACAGTAGGAGAAGCAGAGTGACAAGAGAGTCGAGGGCTGGAGAGGATCATCGCACGGACTCCAACGGGTCTGATGTTTCAGACGAATCGGTATCCTTGGTAACTGCCTCATTTGTAAAACAGAGTACTGAATGGTGTTAAGGCTGAGAGCGCTCAGCACAGCAGACCACTGTGGCTGCTCGGGAGGAATACAGGCACAATGAGAGCAAGGCACAGGCCGAAGATAGTCTACTGTGTGTTAATAAGGAAGCGGAAAAAAAGCATCATTAGGATGGGTGCGCTACTATGTTGTTTATTCAGTGTAAAAACTCTTAAAGTAAGGCTGTATTCATGAGGGACCGGCTGTGATGGACAGGCCGCGTTAGCGAGCTCCATTCTCAAAGTTCAAAGACAGCAGCCGAGGCACATTATCACTTCACCGCCGATAGCTCCGGCTCCACTTATCCTTACGTCCACACAGAAGAGAGAACGCTCGTGCGACTCTTCGCCAACCTGTCACGGCAACATTTCTGCGCTTGAGTGACAAGAGGCAGTGGAAGATGGACGTGGGAGTCAGTGTGGGCACATTCATGACAATCTGTCCACTGTAATGTGGAGCGAGTCGGTGCCAAGCCGAGACGGATACGAGGATGCGCAGCTCCAAAAATTCCTCGCGCCGACGACGACGACGACAACGGGGCCGCGAAGTGTTTGGTGACTGTGAATGTGAGGCCACTCTGCTACATGCAAGTGTCCACCCACGCAGCTCCAGCTAGAAGCTGCACTCCATCTACAGCAGCACTCTGTAGTGTAAATGTGTGGCTATCGCCAGCAGTCGGTTACCTCACTATGAAAGCTGTTTAATAGGTACAAAAAACAAAGGGTACTGTGCTCGGTCAACAAACACACGAGTATTAAAGTGGATTTAGTGAGCTTTAGTGTTGGCATATTTCATTACTATTGGACAGAGCCAAGCAAGCTGTTTCCCCGCGCTTTCAGTCTTTATGCTAAGCTAACCGTCTCTTGGCTCTAGCTTATTATTTACCGCACAGACACAGCAGGGGTAACAATCTCTTCTCTTTAACTCGCAGAAAGACAGCAAATACGCTCATTTTCAAACATAACAAATGTCTCCAAATGTAGCCATTACTCTGTACATCAGGACACCTTTGTGCCCTTCCAGCACCAGCAGAGCCTTTTTACCAAGCGAGCTGTGGACACTTTAAGTCTCTGGACCACTTGTTCAGTAGAAAGTAGTCACTCTCTTATTTTACAGTGATCCAACATCTCTTTAAAACCCAGAAAATAGCATTAAGGTGTGACAATCGACTGAGTGTACCTTCCTTAATTAACTAGTGAATAGAGCAGACTGTGTGCATATGGCGGAACAAGGTTTGCTTTCTGACAGATGCTGAGAAAAGGTACACTCCTGGGCAGGAAACAGTCGTCAGCCATGTGAAACTAAATGTTTCTGTTTGTGGAGAGACCAGACAGAAGACGGAAAAAACTCCACCAGGGAAAGAAAAAGGAGAGGTTCGTCATACAACCAGCAAGGACCAGCGGAAGGACTGATCATAGGTTGCTGGCGTCATGTCCAAAGGTGTGTGTGTGTGTGTGTGTGTGTGACTGCAGTGGGATGATCCATCTGACAGAAAACTGGTCACAGCTTCATCAACAGCAGGACTCAAACTGAGGGCTGAATATCGACTGCAACAGAAACGAGTGTGGATTCAAGCGTTATTGAAGCAGGTTGTCAATTTACAAGAACTCCTTTAACCCTTTCATTTTCTTATTTATCTGCTATTTATTTAGAAAAGGTTTAATAGATCCTATAGGTGCCATAGAAATGTCTCATCATGCATCATGGAAACATACAGTTTGAGTGTCAGCTTTATAAAAAAAAATAGCTGAAATTAGGTGAAATAAGCTACAAATTGCACAATTTATTTCTACTAAAACAAGTTTTTTATATATTGAATTACCAGAAAACATGCTTCATCGTGACATGTATCATTATTGAGATATGAAATGACCTTTATGGATTGTATATTGCAAGTATAGTAAGACTTTTGAGGCAAAAAGTCCTTCCGTGTTAATATCAGAAAGTCACTCCTGTATAATGTTATGCACCATCTCTACATGAAACAGCCCGATGTTCCGTACAGAACAGTGGTTCATCTGTAATATCATGCGAACAGCCAACATCTAATCATTTTCAAACCTTTTAACCCAGACAGGACAGCAGATGTCTCACAGTTATGTCAGCTTGCTACAGTAAAATATGCTCCCCAAAGTGCCTCCAAGGATGACACATCCATTGTGATACTGTATGTCTAAAGGAAAACAGAGACAGTGAAGCCACAGAAAAGGACTCTGGGTGAGAGGAAGATAACGAACAATAAAGCCAAAGCTGTGCTTCACTGAGAAGTTAAAAGCTTTGAGTCCTGTGACAGGGTTTACATGACTATGCACACCTCTTTGCTTAATTTAGAGACTGGAAACAACTTAAATTTGTGATATTAAATAAAAAACTCCATAGACAATGAATAGGATATTGAATCTGTTGATCTATAATATATCTGTGAGTTCTTACACCAAAATAAGATGCAAGAGCTCCACTGCAGAGCATCTGGTTTCTCTCATAGCCCTGGATTTTACATTATAGTATTATCATACAGCCAACGTTTTTATTTTCTTTCTAGTTTTAGGAAAGAACACATCATGGTAGGGAACCTATGAAGTGTTGTACAACATCTCTTACCTTCCAATTTGCTTATAATGATGGTAGAAGCACTGATGATGCTCTAAACACTCACTGTAATATATGGCACCTTGAACATCCCACTGCTATTGCTAGACTAATGTTCATGGCTTTCAGCTCAGCATGTAATATCATACTCCCTCAGATCCTGTTGAGAGTTGAGCAGGTTGAACATACAAGTACTTTGGTATTTACTGTGATTCTCCGTTACAACAGGCTTATCAAGTGGAGTATGTTTGTTCACGAATCATCCAGCGTCTGCATTTTATGCAAAGACTCAGTCCACGGAGCGGATAAAAGCATTATGTTATTGTTCAACAGGGCAGCCTTTCAATCTTTTGTCCATTATGGCATCACAACATGCTTTGGTAACCTGTCCGTTAAACTCAAATCACAAGTCCAAAACCTGATCCTGCCTCCAAGAGACAGCAGAGGAGGCAGGGCATAGGATGGTATAGGAAATGATAGAAACACATTTCCTGGGAGCAGACATACCTGGTGGCCTCTCATTCTCTGGAAGTGGCCGATTGTGTCACTGATGGTGTACACTCGTACGTGTCCCATGTGCAGGCGGCCTGATGGGTACGGAAACATGGAGAGGACATAAAACTTCTTCCTGTTGGAACTCTGGGAAAACAAAATGATGTACAGAGCTGTAAGAAAACCTAATGAGATGTGGAAAAGACCTTGATTTCAATCCTGAGAAACGTCAATAACAGCGCAGGGGGTTCGTTTTCCATTATCAGACTCGTATAAAAGATGCTTCATTACACTGACGAGGACAGGAATAACAGCTCATCGCATACAGAGCGAGAGCGCTGACTGACTTCTGGTGCGTTATTGTACTGTATGCTCCGGTTATGCCTGATTTACAGTCACAACGCTTTCACCAAGCCAACACAGTGAGTGCTGGTTACACCCAGCGATACACGATTACAGGAAACCCGAGTCGTGAATTCTCCAATAAATCAATTAGGGACCAGGGCTGTCATGGACGCACTTAATCAATGTCGGTCCGTCCCAGACAGCCGCGCGGTCGGACCATTAGGATATATAATCAGCCAGAGCTCCGGGACTGAGGCGAGCTACGGGGGCCAGCGCCAGTAATAGCCGGGAACGCCTAATGACCCATTAATCAATTCATCCTAAAGAAAAGGCTGAAGGTGTTTCCTATGTATACAGATAATCCAGAATATATGTATTTCACTCAGTCATCAGTGTTGACAGCTGTTTATACAGAGCGAGTCTTGGTTTTAATCATATGATGTTTACATTGAGCACGAGGAACCTGGTTATTCGTATCGCTGCTCTATACACGATCATAAGACGGTTTTTATTTCTGGCTGCTTGTAGATTGACAGAAAATGAATCCGTAATTATTTTTAATCATCTCGTAATCGTTCCAAGTCATTCTTTTGGCAGAAATGTTAAATATTTGGTGGTTCCTCTCAAATTTGAGGATTTGCTGCTTTTCTCTGTTTCGTATTGTAAACTGAACATTTTGTTCATTTAATAGTTCATACAATAGTTTCCAAAGAATGATATGAACCTGGATGAGGTGTTTACATGTTGGGTCACTCCAAACAGTTCACCAAAGCCTCCCAGTTCATTTCATGGATTCTCTTCTATTCTTCCAACAGCTATTAAATCAAAGCCTTGCAAAATGTTTTATGTAGTTTTGGACGTTAGTGTATTCTACGATTCCCCAATCAGCCATTCTTCACTAGATTGGGTTGAAACATCAACGAAAGTCAAAGGATAATTTGCAACATTTATGAATGTTTTACAGTAAGAATCTATAATTTTCAAAATTCATATCTTCACTAATTTTCACTTTCTTGCAGCTAAATGTTTCCAGATGTTTCTGTGGTGTCGTGTTAATACAGTTCGGTCACATCTTGAAGTTATAAATTGAGTGCCAGAGATCCAATCAACCCAATCTGGTGAAAAATAAGCAATTGGTGACGCTTCGAAAACACCAACCTCCAAAACTTTAAATAATTCAGAACAAAAAAAGGAGGTATCCAGGTTTCTGAAACCAGTATATGTTTTTACACACACACACACACACACACACACACACACACACACACACACACACCATGACTGAGATGTATTTGGCTTGTCGTGACGTCACCGGGCTAAAGACTTTAGGAAACTGCGTGAAAAGTAACGGCCTCCTCACCTCCTCCAGCGCATCGTTCTGCCACTGTGCCATAATTCGTGGGTGCCACCATTCTTCCACTCTGCGTCGGGTCTCTGTTTTATAGTCCTTCTCCCACACTCCCGTCTCACTGAACAGGGTGCGGAGTCTGGTGGACAGGAGGCCGGCTACTGGGCTCAGGAGAGCGCCGCCGATTTGGCCGGAAAACTGGGAAACACCCAGTGGACACAGAGCCAGCCTTCTCACGGACACCTGCATGGCTTTGACACCTATGACACAGACAGATACAGTGAAAAAACAATGCAGGTAAGATCACATAATAAAAGATCTAACAGATGTGCTGCAAAAACAATTAGTCTATTAATCGATCAGAAAATAAATCGCCAACTTTGGACCGCTCAGATTCAGCAGATTGATCAATAATTGAAACAATCTTTGGGTGCAGCACTCTGTTCCACTCTTATACATAACTAGGACTGATACTAACAATTATTTTTCAATGTTAATTCATTTGTTGATTATTTTCTTGATTAATCAATTAGTTGTTGAGTCTTTAAAATGTCACAGAATGGTGAAGAATGTTGATCAGTGTTTCTCAAAGCCCAAGATGACGTGCTCAAGTGTGTCGTTTCATCAACAACGCAAAGATATTCAGTTTATTGTCATAAGGGAGAAAAGAACCCTGAAAATATTCACATTTAAGATAAACACAGTCTCACAGTTTTCTCTCACAGTCGGTGTTCTTCGCACCACGTCGCTCACACAACAGCATGGCTTTGAGGAATAAGAGGGTTTTTTTCAGCATTGATGTGACTATGCTCGGCTCTGGACAGGCTCTTCCTATTAATACTGCCCCCCGTTGCTCAGATGTGAGGATGACATTTTCAAATTATCTGATTATTCACTGATTTCTCTGCTTCAGATCTGCGCTGCGGTTTTATACACTCATCTTTGCACTACAGGATATGAACTGCTCTGACCGCCTCAGGACATCACCTGCGTGGAAGAATACTGTACGTTTGTGTTTACTTGCATAGAGAGGATGAAATGCTATAACAGGGATGTCACTCTTCTGCACGAGCACAGCTGTGAGGCTAGACGTCGCTTTGGCTTTATGTAGGTCAGACAGTCAACTGCATGTAAGAATAAAACAATTTGACCTAAATTTGTCTCCTATCCAACACACACACACACACACACACACACAGTTTCCAAGGTAACATGAGATATCCGCACAGTCAACTGTTGCTAACCCGACAAGAGAATATGTTCACAGCAGTGACGCATCTGGATGTCAGACAGCGAGGCCTTCATAGCTGCTGTGAAGTACGCCCTGACACCAGAGATGAAGATGGAAATGTGGTAAATAAAAATGAGGATTGTTGTTTATCCAAAGCTGTGGGAGAACTCTCTTTAACTGACTCAGCTTGGATGAAAAGAGTGTGAAGAAACTGCAAGTCTCCACATCATTTAGCAAGAATCTGACAAGGATTTAGTGACCACGATGGACAGATCTTTAGGGGGGGACTCTATGAGTGTAAAACCAGTTGCTCGCTCCGCTCCGCCACCCACCTGCTTGTGGGAATGTGTTTTTCACTAAATTCTCCGGAGTACAACCAGCAGCCGAGGCTCCTCCCTCAGGCTGAGGCTGGGAGAGCCGAGCGCTCAAGGTTGCGTGCTTCTCTGGAGGTACAAGTGAGTGGGCCGAGGCGAGAGACGGAGAAAATGTTTCTATGGTGACTCGGCTCATCCGCTCGGGTGTCTCCTGTGAAGAGTGACTGAACGCTGCCGACAACAAGCTGGTTCACTACAACAGAAGAAGTCTTTCTCTGAACATCTGGATTGTCTTATTCAGATTCTGGGACTTCAGTACTTTTTGGGTACCAGCTGAAGTGTGTCATGTGGTGACAGCTGGAATCGGTACTCAGTCAAACTCTTTGTGTTGCTGAAATAATTATTCAGATTTAAATCATAATCTTGCTCATTTACGACTGTATTATATTCATGCAAAAACTAGTGTATGATTGCTTTGTGTTTGGACTTATAATTAAATTGAAACACTGACGCATTTAAAGACTTTGGCTTTGAGAAGTACAAAAACTTCTATTATTATATAGGTATTATATTTGTGCCTGCAGCAAATAGTTTCAAACGCTACCCAGTCGTGATATTACAGCAACCTCTTGTAGTGTCAACATCTTGATATGTGATTAGATATTGTCTGGGATTTTTGGTTATTATAATAATAATAATAATAATAATGATAGTATACTATCGTGAAATATCTTAAATGTTGCAATTATTGGTCTCCAGGCTAAGTTAGTTATGTATATATGTATCAATAACATTAATCAGCAAGAATTTTGAAAACACCAAATATTACCTCGTTGTTCAAACTTCTCAAATAAGAAAGATTTGCTGCTTTAGTCTGCTCTAAAGAACTGTAATTTCATAAATTCACATTTATATTTTCTAGACACTTTCTAATATTTTCTGACATCTTAAAGACCAAATGAGAATCAGAAAGTAATCGACAGATTAACAGATGATTTAAATAATGAATAGTTGCAGTCCTATAACAAATAACACCTGAAAGCCCCAATGGTCATCACCACAATATGAATGGTTTTCACTCCTCTGCCACAGCCTACAATTAAGATTGTTTAACAAGTTGCAAAATTGTTGAATGTAAATCAATTTACTTCGGAATACTGAAATGTTGTTTGCATAGTTCGGCAGACTGCTGACAGGTCAGTTATATATAAAATGAGCTGTCAAGTATTTTAGTGCTTTTTCACATCTTAGCGGTCTTATATGTGTCACGTGTCAACACTGGACTGCGTAACGCTGGCTCGGGTCCTCAACACGCTCTTTTGACACACAGAGGAACCATGTTGAGGCTACATAGCATTACGCTAGCAGTACATTACATTATACCGGTTTATCCTCGTAGCCGCTCCACTGTTAGCTACAAATACAACGTATAGCAGCTGGTTCAAGTGTTGTGATGGTGTTTAATGTCTTGTTTCTCTGCTGGTCGAGTCACAGTGGAAGTTAAAACAACGTTACATTTCACTTTGAAGGTGCTTACCGTTTTATTTCCTGGTCCTTTATTTCAGTGGTATGGTCGTAGTGACATAACTCCAATAGTTAGTTTGTAGTCCGCTTTTAAATACGCTGTAAATGACCTGCTTCCTTGGATCACGACTTCGCCATAGGCGTCGCCATCTTGGATTTAAATCAACTTTATCAACACGGCGTACGTTGACAAGGACAACCCATGTTCTTTTACACGATACATATATTTTATAAGAGACTTTTCATGCAAACCAATAACACTTTTCTGTGTACTTTACCTCTACATGTTCACATTTTCAAGTTCTTGATCTTGCATATGTAAATAATGTGTGTGTGTGCGCGCGCGCGTACGTGCATGCCTGCATACATGTCTGATTGCCAGAGCTTCATTGTTGCTTTCAGTGATTTCAACGAGTGACGGCTCTGTTTGTTACCTTATCACCCTTTATTTTCCTCAGCCTAATATTATTTTTTTACATTTTTCATTAAAACCTCCAATCTATTTTTTAGTCCAGTAAAATCACTGCCCCCAGCTGAATTAACCAAAATATGCAAATTTGACAAAACAAATTACAATCATTGTTAAGAGTCTCATTTTCATTTGTTATTCCTTTTAATACCACTTATAAGATTCATTTATACAAATGTTAAAATGTTTTATTGCCTTTATTAAAAATAAATGAATTATTCACTGATGACGTAAAGATCTTTATTTATTATTGTTATTATAATTATTGTTGTGAAGAATCTCTATTGGCCGTATCTTTCCTAAACAATGCAGTTATACATGTTTGTAATGCAGTTATAGATATGTGTGTGTGGGTGATTAACTCACCGATAAGCCGTCAAAACTGCAATTATAAATATAATAAATGTAAAAGTTGTAAATAAATGGATTTTGGTCCAGCTGCTTGGCAGCTCTTTTGCACATCAAACAATACATTTGAAGGGTTTTCCTGATGAACTATAAGGACCTGTAGCTAAAAATACAAAATGGAGGAGAGATGATTCTCAACCTGAGAAACAAAGAGGCCATTTTCTGTTTTGCCTCAAACTCTTACTTTATCTTTCATCAAGGATCGCAGTGAAAATAGATTTTAAACTATATTCAAGCAAAACCTTATTGTTTAAACCACTGGTTTGTTGTTTTAAATTCTCTTTTATCCTCTGGGGTCAAATGTGCAGCATTTATTTTTGCATCTACCAAAGTAAATCCATAAATATATACCATAAAATATAACTGAAATAATTCACAAAATACTGCCAGCAGCACAACCAGGGCTGCCACTATACTTGATTTCTGAGAGGAGAACTATTTCTTCAACTTCCAGTGTAAAGTGATTACTGACTGAGAGAACACCTTCCTCACTCTCACTCTCATCTTCATCACATTGCCGAGGAGCTCTGAGGAGGAAGGTAAGGAGGCAGTGTCTCATCAGAGCTCTCCCTGTGGCTCTCACCTTTGATCTGACGTGCATACAGAAGTGGTGAAGGAGGGAAGAAGTCAGAGCCGGTGTGGGGAGAGAAAAGGGAGGGTGGGGGGGTGTAATTAGCAGGAGATAGAGTTCCTCAGTTTTCTGACGTCAGAGAGATAAACCCGGGGCTCTGCTCCGGCCTGCCGTCGTATATCAGAGTTAACTGGGCGCCTCTGCTCAGGGCACAACAGGATGTGGCTGAAGAGGAGGAATGAGAGAGGGAAATGAGGTTTTGACACAGTTGAGACACTGACTCTTTACAGCCAAAGATCTGTCTGCAGATACAGAGGGAGGCTCCCTGATGAATGAGTCTGGTACTCACTTCCTCGTCGTTACAGTATTTCACTGAGGACTGCAGGTGTCAGAGAATGATCTTTTATCATTTGTTTAAACTTGAAATTCTTGCTGAAATCCTGGACACATTTGGAAAATATGCTCCTCCAGCTCTGTTTTGTTTTGGTGCTCCATTCTATTAATTACAAAACTGTTTTACAAAGCAAGGAAAATCAAAGTGTGCCCACGTGAAGGATGCAGTAGGTGTACTGAGGGCAAAAGGTTAGCTTGGAAGTCACTTTTTCTAGTCAGCCGGCAGTGAAGCGCTTTCATATGTCGAATCAATATGACTGTTTGACTAGACCTGATCTAAAGCAGTGGAGGACACTGTGAATATGACAGACATTATACCTTTAATCCTTTGATAACTGGGACACATTTCAAGACCAAGTACAAAATACATCCAATGTCTTTGTGAATGTGGACTTAATGTGTCATTTCATGGACAAAGGGCTACATGAAACACACAAAGAAGAGTTAACTGGGTAAAGATTTTAAAAAAAACGAAGACCCCACAACTGTCCACAGATTTGATTGTTGCCTAATCCTGATTGGATGGATGATCAATAGCCGAGTAAATAAGAAGCATAACCATTCCTAGTTTGATTCCAGTCAGGGACCATTGCTGCATATCTCTCTCTCTCTCGCTGCACATTCCTGTGTGTATTTTACTGACACTTTCACATTTGTTTATTTGATAGTGAAAATGACACATGCAAAAAAAAAAATATATATATTTTTGTTTCACAGATGTATGCCATATCACCGGTTTCCCAAAACAGTCAGAAGAGCTAAAAAAACAACATTATCAATAATAAAATGATTTAGTGTTCACATTGAGAACATGACTCTTCAGCTGATTGAACAAAAAAGATGGTAATCAGGGCAATCACCATAAACATAAACTAACACAAAGTAATCTCCTTATCTGATGCTTGTGAGGTCTGCACTCAAGGACATTTGTCTCCTCCAGGTCAATATTGTTTTCAAAATAATGGTCCTCTATAACTTGACGCATAAGGAAAAATGATATAACTGCAGCAGATGGAGGCACGATGTCCTCAGGGAGCGTCTGAGTGAGCAAAGCCAATTTATTGCCGGAAATTTGTTGAGAAAAAGAACGTACTGAAATAAAACGTGGAATCGGTTCTGAGAAAGTGTCATCCTCTTGATATCTGCCAGCTTTGTCTCAGTGTTCCACTTCTTTTTATTTGATAATAATTAACAGTAAAAAAAAAACCTGCATGGCATCATTCCTCAGTGTAATGGCAAAGTCTTTTAATCATTTTTGGACTGCTTATTGCATCTCAGGTACAAGCAGCCTCTGTTGTTTTTCCAAACAAATCACTTTTGAAAGCAACCAATCATCCTCCTTCTCCAGCCACATCCGCCTCCCCGCTCCCACCACCACAAACAGCCCATGGTAATCACCCCTGTGCTCCCTGCTTTGAAGGAAGATTGCATTTCACCAGCAGAGAACCAGATGACAAACGACCACGGAGAGCGGCCGGAGCAGCAATGCGTTAGGTTGAAAGCAGATGAAGGTAAAGGAGGGGTGGGTGGGGGGCTAACTTGTCTTCACCTGTCCAACGATGACCTTTCATGAACGGGTGTGTGATTCACAATCCGCACCCGCTTCAATGAGAAGTAGGCCGTCGGTGCCACAGAGAAGTAATCTCACACCATCCCAGAGAATGGCGGGCAGCAGGCCGATGGTGGTTCTGACCGTGGTTCAGGGAGCCTGATAAGTGTGATGTTATTTCCAGGACCAGTTTCACATTGACGGTCCTTCACTTATCTGTTCTCACGGAGGACAGAGGCCCGAGAGAGAAACATGGAAGTACAGAGGAGGAGATGAGGAGGTTTGGATCTGGAACAAGATCTTAAATAATCCGTTCAGAAGTGTCTGGCAGGCAGCATCACTCTCTACGCTGATCTTTCTTGCTCTAATTCTCTCGCACTGCTGCAAAGCTTTCACTCACTGAAGATGAAAAATGCATTCCGCAACAGACGAGCTGAAAAACATTTGTTACGTCTTCCCCTCTGACTCCCCATCCACTCTGCCTGATTTCAGAGCAGCTCCTTGGCAATTAATGTAGCTAATTAGTGTACAACTCCTCAGATCCCTCTCCGCTCGACTAGATGCACTCAAACCGGCTGTAATTGAGGCTCGGGTGACAATCTTATTAACATACGAATACTCTGAATACTTCTAAATTAATTTCCACACGCAGTCTTGAGCATTTGAATTGCTCTCGCCTAAAGGTTGACAGTGAGAGGCTATAACTTTATAGCAGTAATTGGGATATGTTTAATCATATGAAGACAAAACAATATGCAATTAAATTATGAGCAGTGGTTGAAAGTGACCATTTGAATTCTACTCCACTGCAACACTGTACGGGTTCCTGTTCAACACTGTACTTTTTAATCCATAACATTTATTTGACTGCTTGCTCAATTTACAATTTACTTTAGTTCACAAGAATAATCCACACAGTAAAAAAAACAACTGTATTTTACGTCTGTAATTTTTATTTCAGGGTTTTAATAAAGCCGTTTTACATTGATATATTGGTTATTTTACTTGAAAGGGTACAACAACAATTTAGCATCACACTTTCATAAAGCTGGGACTCACAAGAGACCGATTTAAAAAAAAAGACATCAACATCGGAGCAGCTGAGGCCAATCATGACTTTTTCTCTCCTGTACGAGCCCCGAAAATGGTCGATCCTACAATTCTCACAATGCAACTCAGTGGCACCTTTGTTAGACCCTCCATGCCTGATAAATGCCCACTTATTTCAAACTCCATGTGCCAACTCCATAACACACAGGCTTTCTCTTAAACATGATGATCAGAAACGTCCTTTCAGTGGAGTCGTTCTCCTCCTGATGAGTAAACTGAACTTCATGTGTAACACAGGCTAAATAAAGGATGAGCACTTCATCCACTACAGTATGTAAGTGATGTGATTTAATTTGAAGGTGTTGATGAGGCCCTTTTTCAAAATGTTTGGCATCAAGGCCTGAATTTAATATCATCTTATGAACGCTCTGTGCTCCAGCACTGTCCAGACTTGTGTTGGTTCTTCAGAGGAGGAATGAGAACCGCTGCAGCTGTGTGATTGATACACTCTAACGGATATTAACACAACATCATGAATGTTTGTGCCCTGCAATAGCATCCACAGTGACACCAAACATGACAATAACTGTTGTATGATCGTTATCAACTAAACAGAATATGTCCTCGACACCACACTGTTGCCGTGGTGATGAGTCCCGGCAGTGATTGGTGGTGTGACAGGCCGAGATGGAGACTTGGAGGACTCACATTTGGGCTCAGACGGGAAAAAAGGGGAGCTTGAACGTTTGTGTCTGTGAGGACGCACGTTCTCCAATCCTCAACTTCTAATGAAGTCCGTTGTCTACGTGAGCCGGTGAGTCGGACTAATGGCGTCTGATCCAGCTCAGAGTCAGCCAGGAGCCACTAACAGGTCCTCCTTTTTGGTTTCCTGAATAAAGAGCCACGTTTTAAGAAAATGAATCTTTCATAAATTCTCCTTCGGCACAAGAGACTTTCATCTTAGTCCCATTTGCATTTTTGTCACCAAAGCAATTTACATTTTTATAGCATAAGTAATGAACACGAAAGTCATTTACAGTTTCTTGCTCTGTTCACCAGTACGTTGTCTAGACTAGAGCATATCTGATGAGGAGGGACCAGCATTTGGAAGCGTGTGGGAGTGTTTTGCGAGCAGCAGAGAGATGTCTGAATGTGCAGAAAGAGAAACAAGCAACTACTTGATTGTTTTAAAGCAAAAACGTTAAGTAGAATTCCCTGTCATAATCAAACAGAGACAAGGGGACTAAGACTTTCAGGTGCAAATTGACACCAAAGCGTCTTTCACTTCTGATGGTCCTCACATCAAATACACGGAGGCAGGCCTCTGGAGCAAATTACACCATTTAGACATCACAGAAGAAAACAATTCATACAAGTGACATTCATATTTGCCAGCCTGCAAAGATGAAAGAGAATAATTCATCACGATTTTGCCTCCGGTCAATGACCTGATTCTGTTAATAGCTTATTATATTTCCTGATGCATTATGTATACATTGTTAGGAAGAGTATTCTAGTAAAAGGCATGGCTGTTTCCTCTTTAAAAGCCATACCAACCCTTTGGAAGTGCCAGAAGAGGAGGAGGGAAGACATGTCTTCAGGAGGGTGGACACAATGAGAGCAACACCTATAAAATGTAAAAAGAATGATATATTTCTTTATCAACAGAACTGTTGATTTGACTTTGATTTGTCTGGTTTGAGCTGTTGTATTGAATTGTACAATGTTACAAGGGATACACATAAGATCACTGTAGATCAAACAACCACACACTCCTGGATATATTTAAAGACCTGCGGTTACAGTCCTGACAGGCTGGTGAGGGAAGTCCTGGTCACGTTTCTATCATCAGTCCACTTCAACTCTGAGTTGCATGAACATTGTTTTTTAACGGCTGGGGTTCAGTTCAGGCCAACGCTGGCTCACACGGTGACCGCAGATTGAAACCCTCCTCGCCAAATTGGACCAGGTGTTCAACCACTACTCCTGATATTTAAACTGTTATTACAACCCTACAAAACTGAGATTAACTGCAGCTGTGTCCCCAGCTGCTAATGTAATCAGACTTGCTGTTTGTGATAAAGTGTTGGATCCAAAACACAAAGAGGATAAGGGTCGGGGGTGGGGGGGGGGGGGGGGGGGGTGAGTGTGTCCTCTTCAGCATCAGATACAGCAGCCAGGTGATACACACTGTGTACAAAACCCCTGCTGCTGCAGCACAGTGGAGGCACGTGTTTATTGATGAATCTGGCTGCCCCTGAGTACACAATATGGCTGAGAGAAACACACACCAACGTACAGAAAGCTCTCAGAGCAGAGAACAGATGAACAAACAAGCAGACAGATAACGGACTGTTGGGTTTCCCTCTCTTAGATGTTTTCATGAGCGAGACAAAACAAAAGTTTTATTTTGTCATTATTGTTTTTGCTTTCTATTTATTGCATTTGATATATCGCCCATACACACAATCTGTTTAGGTAACCATAGTCAAATAAACAGCACAGAGAAGAGTTGATTTCATGCCTGAATTAAAATGATGAATGGCAGTATTTTTTAAGATTTTCCAAATTGAATATTTTGCATAAAATCCGTCCTTGCATTCTTGAACTACTGCGGTTTTATCACTGAATGGAGGGGAATTCATCTTGGTGAGGTAGTGAGAGAGCAGCCCTTGCCTTTTACCTCATCATCACTGCTTTGGTGCTCTTGAGCAAGGCACCTGAGCCCCTGCTGCCAGTGGAGCTATCAGTGGCCAGCATTCATGCTGGGCTCAGTGATTGTCACAGAAAGGTTCTTGTTAATCTTTCCTGCGTGGGATCAAGATTAACTTCTGATCTTTTAGCTCTCTGGCGCATGATGACAATCCCAGCATGTTTCTAAGCTTATTGTGACCTTAAAGGGAATCAACGTCTATTTCATTGAAATGGAATTTAAAAAATACAGAAGTTAGAATGGTGTTAAGCTTCACTTTCAGAATGAACATGGCTCCATGGCTGAGCGATGTTGGCAGATTTTATAACCTAGGGGTGTTTTACATGTATTTAATTGGGTTATTCCAATATGTTTTGTGTCTGTATAATTAAATTTCACAAATTTTAAGCCAACACAATAAATACAGATAAATTATTCACTTCTATTCCTGGCAGTAAGATGGCTTTGAAACACCATTTATATGGTAGAATTTATTGAAAGAGAATCAGTAACAGATCAGTTAAATATAAATGTACTCGTGTTATTACAGACTATTAAACATGAGCAGAGTTATGCCACAGAATGTTTCGTCTCACTTATTTCTATTATTCAGTCTTTTCTCCTCCTGGAGAGAGAAATGCAAAAGTCGCAAACCAACACAGAGACAGCGACAACAAGGCTGGATTTCTGTTTTCAAATCCTTTCATTTCATTGAGAAAGTTGCATTGAGCATGTGTATGTGAGGACTGCTGATTGGAAGATGTGCGCTGAACCTCTGTCCCTGCGCACTGGAGGCTCTCCCCTCACCGCTCCTCCTGTGTTTTCGTGCTCAGCGCCGCTCACACCTGAAGTGACAGAGAGGGAGTGACGCTCAGAGACGCTCCAAGCTGTGATGAAGGCAGCGCGCGGTGCTGCCCTGCCTGCCGCTTCTTCTTCTTTTTCTTCTACTGTACAGCGACTGCAGGGCACATTTGGAGATCAAGTCAGAAGCCAAACAATATCCAAAAGAGGAGTGGGGGGACACGCGCATGTGACAGGCTTTGGACGTTTCCATTCAAACAAGTCCGGCAGGGAATTAAATCTCTCCATCGGGAGCGGCGTTATTAAAAAACCACTGGCGACTGGCGTTTTGAAGCATTGCACGCCTCGTCCGTCGCCTGTGGATCGTCACAGCACCATGCGAGCAGGAGAGACGCGCCCTGTGCCATGCTGAACGACTCTCCGACTCTCCTGCTGGCTCTCACCGCGGTGGCCGGACTTCTCCAGCGATGTCAGGGCTGGAGCGACGAGGAACTCCTCCTGCCGCCCAACAACTCCTCCAACGGGTTCCTGTCCAACCTGGAGGTGGACGTGCGCTTCTCCAAGAGGTCTGTGGAGGAGAGCGACGCCTCGCCCGACGGCTCCTCCCTGCAGACCATGTCCCAGTGCAACGTGAGCGTCCAGAGACTCCAGCCCACCTCGCTGGTGGCCCGCTGGGACAGCAGCTTCGGTTTCCAGTGTGACGTGCTCATCTACACCACCAACAACCACGGAAGGGCTTTTTTCTCCGCGTCTTTGAACAGGGCGATCTCCCCCGTCGTCATCGAGCACCTCGGGGTCACCGGGGGTCAGCAGGAGCTGCGGCTGTGCGTGGGCTGCGGGATGTCCCGATACCGGAGGTTCGGTCAGGGCAGGTCGAGGGGCCAGCAGGCCGGGGATCAGGTCGCTTTCTGCTGCGTGGATTTCAGCCTCGACGAGCTGAAGGGGGACAAAAGTTGGAGGCTGAACAGAAAGCCCATCGAGTCGACACTTGTGGCTTGTTTCATGACTTTGGTCATCATTGTGTGGAGTGTTGCTGCTCTCATATGGCCAGTCCCGATCATTGCAGGATTTCTGCCCAATGGGATGGAGCAGAGGAGACCGAGATAATTGAAATAATCTTTATTATAATTAGCCTGTGCTGCCTATACTATAATTGTAGCCATTCAACTGTTCACCTGAATGAATGATTGAGGAGCTTTGGAGACACTTTGACCAAATCTTTTAGTTTTGGGTGTTCTTTAATCCTTATTAGAGCTCCTCATGATTAAGACAACCAAGGTAAAGTATGATGGATTATACTAGCCAATAGTAATCTGGGACCAACACCAATGTGTTTTGTATACCCTTGTAGGCCTTCCTATAGATTATGTCAGCGTAGACTGTGCACACTTTTCTCTTTAAACAGTGTTTGTATAGTTTTTAATCTTTCTAGAAAGTTTTTGCCTTATCCCATGTGTAGGATTTTTTGCACTGAAAACTGAACTTTAAAGTGTGCTGTTACATATATAACCTATAGTCTTGTTCAAAGTAAATGTAATAGTTTTTTCCCAATACGTTCTGAAAAGATAGATGTTGTTTCTGATTGACATGTAGAGAGGGTTTCAATAATTATATTGTTAGATTTATAATGTCAAGATCAATAGGCGTGCTTATTTGTATTCATGTTGCAGCGGTTTCAATGATAATAAAATTGATTATAGGCTATAACTCAGATTCTGTCTGAACTGTTCTCTGTAGCCTGAATCAATTTACTTCTAGTGAACACAACATGTGGTCCAAAGTGGAAAATATACTCAGTTGCCAGTTTATTAGGTACATCAAGCTAAAACCAATGCAGTCTAATGCAACAGTCCATTCAATAAAATCTGCCTTTGTGAAGGTCATAATGTTTAGTTTTACTAAAACTGTTTTAGACAGGCGTTAAATCAACTGTGTTCATTTTGGAGGATGTAGTTTGTGGTGCTGTTAAGCTGCATTTCATTATACAGAGAGGTGTTTTTGTTCTCGTTGACCCACATTGATATAAATGGGATGGACTAAATAATAGAAACATCTGTCAGTATAACACAATACAATTCAACAGCACCACAATGAACCCTCCAAAATGATCATAAAGATGATCATATTTTAACACGGATGAGGTACAAATTGCAGAAATAGATTTGTTTTTTAAATGATCACATACATTATGAAAATGCCGGGCTATATGCAACTTTAATTATACATTTTGCTCACACTTGGTATTAACTGCAGATGTGGAATTATTACCAGAAGTAAAACCGTTGAGCAGGAGGTTATCTCTTTGTCCCTCTGTCTGCGTAGATGGGAATTGGGAGATTTACTCCACGTCTGCTACAAATGGTTGTTTTAGTACTGCAATGTAACTCATGTTGACTCATGGGTTGCTTTGCCCCCCAGAACTAAAGACAGTTTCTCCACATACAACCTGCTCTTTTCCCCAGTGTAAATGTGTTACTGTGACTTTAGTGTCAGTGTATGTTATGTGGCTCGCCAAGTCAAGAGAGACTTTACCAGCCTGATCCATAAACAACAATGTTTAGTATCCTACTGAGCTGACTGACCAGTTTATGATGATGACAAATTCGTAGATGTTTATCTGTAAAAATAAGCTTTTTTTTATACAGCCAATTGATCATTTAATTATTATGTAAAATACACTTAATTGTCAGTTTGATAAATTCGCTCAGTTTTAACCAATACAATTCAACAGCCCTTCAATAATCCTCTTTTAATTAGGGTTGTAAGTGGGGTGGACAAAATGACAGAAAACCTCTCAGTATAATAATATAAAGACCAACAGCACCAGCTACAACCTCCAGCATTTCTCTACTGGGACTCTATTCTCACAAGTTCGTGTTGAGCCTGCAGTACTATAATGTATAATATGGTACCACTGGGCTATAATTAGAAGAATAGTAGCCTATATACTTTGTAGGCTATTTAATAAATTAACACAATTGTATTTTTAATTGCAAATAAATATTTGTCAAAATTATTCCGCAGATTTAACTAATAACAGTAATTTAACAGTAATATTTTGCAGTTTTGGTTTAACTTGGTACCTGCCAAAATGGCAGACCCGACCACGCCTTTTGGTTACCTGGTGCTTTAACGCCGCCTTTGCTCCTGACACACACTCACACACACACATACAGGAAGCGGAGGAGTTGTGTCTGCTTTTCACGTAAACGAAAAGGAAAATGTGGCGCACTTAAAGTCGCACCTCTGGACGAGAAGCGATGAAATATGCGCAGATATCTGGACCACATTTCCTCCGGATCAAATAGAAGAACATTATAGGACAGCATGTCGTCATCGGGAGTCGCGTTTCAGCTTTTACTTCTTGCATTCATCGCCTTCCCTGTATCAGGTAAGTTACAGCTTAATTATTAACCAGCAGGACAGACACGCTGATGAGCCGAAAGATCTGCTGTTTGAATATGAACACGTGATTGTGTGGAGACACGTGGAGGTCTCATCAAACAGTGTTGCTAAGCTGTTGTTATTGTGCTGATTACTGCTAATACGTTGGGACCTGGATGACTTTAATGATTGCTATGATGAGTCGTGTCTGAGTCAATGAAGTTATAAGTCGGGATCAGCGCGAGGAAGGACACAAATGAAAGAAAGGGCCTGTTGTATCCGTGAGGAGTTTCTGCTGTTGACTCAACTGACCAGTTTTCTGTTAAACAGGAATATCCTCATTAAAAAAGGCTGGCAGACCTAATCTGATGTGTCATCTGTCATATGATGATAGGGTGTGTCTGTGTTGTCCACACACACACACATCCAGAAACATACATACAGCATATGAATATAGAAAGAGAAATAATAGAGTGTAAACCAGGATATGCGAGACAATGGAGAGGTGCTTCAAGCCATGTTTTAACATGGCTCTGTTTGCTCAGGTCATGCCTGGTTAGTCATAGCTGTTGGCCTCATCTCTCAACGCAGTTAGTCATTGTGACTTTGTTAATAACTTAGCAAGACATCCGTAGATTCAGATTTTCCGTGACATCTAAGAGGTCATTTCATTGGGATTATTGCGTGTTATTCAGCACTGAACGTCTGTGTTTTGTTTTTGTTTTTTATCAAAGTTTCTCCCTTTTCTCTTAATTCCCAATTTTTCCCTAGGGGTCCAGAAGCTGACCGTCATCCCGGTCAGGGGCACCTACCTCAACATCAGCAGTAGTCATGTCAAAGGTTGCAAAGTGTGCACAGGGGCCGGACGCTCACGACAATGTAGTCCATCCCTCGTGATAAAAGACAGCGCTCCTGTCTCAATGGAGTTTGAATGCTCCAGACCTCAGACCTCTGATGTATTCAGAGTGGAAATTGTGCGGAATATAGGTAAATATAGTACTCCAGCAATGTTATTGGAATGGCTCTTCTTTTAAAGAAATTGTATTATCTTGCAGAACTAATGTAGTTGGATTTGTTTGTTGTAAAATTCATCGGTTAATATCTCCTCTCAGAATGTACCACAAAGTTGTGCAATGGCCACATCATCCAGGCTGACTCCGACTCACTTCCTTTGCTGGATTTTAACCGCAAGTTCACCTGGAACCTGAAGGCATCTGCGACGAAAGCGTTCAAAATAGACTTCAACAAGTTGGGTGTGAGACAGATCAATCCGTCTGAGAGATGTCCAGACAGACACAGCTACACCCTGCAGGCCTTCCAGGCTACAGGGAACGTGGCCGTGGGGAAATACTGCAGAATGGGACCCGTCGGTAGTGCTCAGATACTGAATCAAGGGAGCTTTTCTCTGGACGTCCCAGCAGGGCAGAAGCTGCAAAATGCCCAGTTTGATGTGTCTGTCGGGGAGGAAATCAAATGTGAGTTGGTGTCTGATTGATTGCCCATGCCCCGTGTGTCACACGTCACATTGTTTGACCGTTGTATGCATCTTTTTTTTTTTTTTTTCCCTCTCACAGCTCTTGCTAAAATTACACTGACGTTACCAAAAGGGACCTCGTCCTCAGAGTTGTTCTCTCCAAACTACCCGGACGGTTTTCCTGACGACGGCGTGATGGAGTGGTACTTTCAGGTGCCGGACAAACAAAAGACAGCCATTCAGTTCTTGAATCTCACACAGCCGCATTGTGTGAAGAAGGGGACGGCGGTGGAGTACCACAGCACAGGTAGAGGGGCGTCGGTGCGGAGTCTGACAGACCCGCAGCCGGACCACATCCAGGGAAAGTTCACCCTGAAGCTGAGGAACTGCGAGACGGACAGAAGAAGTGTTGGTTCTGCTGGACTGTCGGTAAACTTCAAGGTGTCTTCCTCAAGTGCAAGCTCATCAGGTTTGCTTATCATTTTTAACTTTTGACCTCTGCCAAGATAGTTATGCATTTGTCCCTCTGTAGATGTAATGTTATACCTCTCAAATATTGATCAAAATAAGTGGCAGGTAGACCTTGAGACCTGGATGGGTTTGATTTTGTGGGTGATCTGGATCTTGAAGAAAGTTGTTTTTATCCACGCTATACCTATGACGCTAACTGAGATGGGTTATTTCTAAGGGTGAAATTTTAACCTTCGATTGATGATTAATATTAGTGGAACATTTAGCAGCTGAAGAGACAGATATTTCCCTCAGGAGTTGGTAGAGACCATAAATCAGCTAAAAGACGGTGTCTTTTGAGATTCAGCATGTGACTGCTTTAAAGTTACCAATTACAATTGATCCTTCAAACATGTTTTGTCTGTTGGTGTCAAATCATTTATTTTTATAAAGATGTGAAATGAAAAAGAAAGCTAATGTTAGAATGCAAATGTATCCCGTTAAAGAAGTATAACAGAAAGCAGTTTCTGGGGTCATCAGCAACATGGTGAATGGTTCAGTGTCGGTGCAGGTTTTGCTGTTGATTAAATACTTTCTAGGATGACGGATGTCTCCTCTACATGTTGCAGCAGGGTGCAGTTTCATCAGTCAGGAGTGGGATAGAAAATTCCCTGCTCTATGAAAAGGCTTCTGTGATGATGAGTAAGGTGTGTGACGTGGGGAGTGGGCCTCGTGGCGTTTATCTGAGGGGAGCTCTGAGATTGCCTCATCGCTGAGTCTCAAATGACTGCGCACACTTCCTTCAACGTTCGGGGAATCCCGTTTGGCTCTATCGGTCAAATCGAAATTCAAATTCCTGTTTGACATGGTTGTGATTTGAAACGCAGGTGCCCAACACATTTGTGTGCTTGTGGGAGTTGGTGAACAGAGGAAATGCTAATATCTTATTGTATTTCATTCTGTAGTGTCGTGTGAAGTGGATATGAGCAAAATGGATGGCCTTTCTCTTCACATCGAGAGGTTGAGGTCGGCCTCCGTCTGCATGATGAAAATAAACTCTGTGCCGAAGGAGAAGATCACAGTGACGTCAAAGAGTAAGCTGACTTTCCAGGACTGCTTTCCTGAAGACGTACAAGTCACCGCCACGAGAGTCATAAGTAAGTCCAGATTGAAGCGTCCCCGGGCCTGGAAAATAAGCCTTGAATCATTCTTATAACTCACCATACTTTATTTTATTAGATTAATAATTACACAGACCAGGATGATTATAATCTGTGTAATCCCCTCATTTTATTTAGTATTGGACGTTAAAGAGGCGCTTCAGAAAACTATATTTCTCTCACTTACTTTTGGTAGTATCCAGATAGTTTGGGTTTAATTTGTCCGGGTTTTGAGACAAGTTGCCGTTTCTCGTAGTCAACATTGCTCTATGGAAACGTAGTCTCCTTTTTAATCTGGACATTTCTCATGAGACATTTTCATTGGCTAGAAATCAGCTTCAATTTAGTTTCTCCAACCAGAAGTGTGAAAATGCCTTTTTCAGAGTGCAGTCGACTCAAAGACTGCCCGAAGAAGCCGGACCGTCTGTCGGTGCCTGCGCTGCCGCCCTGCTTCCCTTTCCCTCTGAGCAGTGTGACCTGGACTCTCCGTCCCCCTCAGGGCGGCACAGTGGAGCTGTCCTCTCCCACTGAGCTCCTCAAGCAGTCCCTACCTGGGCAGCAGTGCAACGACAGCATCATTATCACAATGGCCGAAAGCGACGGCACTACTATCGGAGACTTCTGCCCTCAGGGAGCCATAAAGACGGTCCAAATCCACACCAACATGACTGTCACTGTGTCCCGCGTGGAGGGTAAAGCACTAAGCACGCCCCTCAAGCATATGCTGAGTGCCATTTTTAAAGAGGGGATAGCAGGTAACAAGCCAAACGAATGAAATAAATACATTAAATGCATGTTTTTTAGTGATATTAAATATTCCTTTCTTTCTAATCATTTTCAGAAAGTTACATATTCACTGTATTTCCAAAGAGAGACACTCCTGTCCATTTGGCTACTCCTGGTTGGCCAGTAGGAATGAAGTCTTTCACCACCGTCTCCTGGATCGTCGCCGTCCCCTCGAAGATGGACGCTCACCTGATGTTTGCCAACCTCAGCCAGCCCAAGTGCAGCAACCGCCACACTAGAATCAGGGTGCAGAGAGTCGGCTACCTGGAGGAGGATTACAGCCGCAGGGAGGACGAGCATGCCGAGAGCGAGATCACCGTCACTTCGAACTTCTACCTAAACATGTCCAACTGTAAGCCTGAAAGAGGGGACTTCAGCGTCATCACCAAGGTCACCCTGCAGAAGAGTAAGAGGACATTCTGTACGGTTACTCCGTCTGCATTGTAGTTTTGTGTAAGCTGTAATTCCCCCCCCCCCCCCCCAAAAAAATTGGACTGCGTGTTTTAAAGGCATCTTCTCTAAGTGGTACTTTTAGCCATGCTAGAGTCTGCACACTAGATAACTGTAAATTAATAACACGTGCTTTCACATCTTTTACATGCGTTTCTGTACTTTGTGTTTAGCATGGCTGCCGACTGTAGACAATCCAATCCATTTGTCATGAGTCAGAAGAGGTTAATGAAAGTGTTAATCTTCAGGCTTCAGTAGCTTCTTTTTTAATTTTATGGACTCTTAATTTCATGTACAACAGAAAGTGTTCATGAAAGATTGTATCTGTTGTTGTCTCTCATTTAGGCCGTCTGCTGACCATCATCCTGAGTGCGGTGGCTGCTCTGTTGGTCATTTTTGTCATCGTGCTGGTAGCTGCCTGTGTGGTGATTAGGTGAGTGGATCGGCTTCATGTTTTATTCTTCAAATTTGATCATTTATACTTTAAAATGAGGTATTTTTGTCTTTTCGGATTGCTCGCTTGTGGAAAGAATTCTGCAAGTTATTGTTTTATAAAATATAGTGAAGTGCTTTGTTAAACTACATGTTTGCCTCAACCTGCTAGAGATTTCCTCATTCATTTAAAAGTGTTTCACGAAACAGTTTGATGCCGTATACCTCTTAAGCTCTCTGTCGTCTTCTGCTCAACAGGAAGAAGAAGAAGCTGAGTCATCAAGTGTCCATCTACAATCCAAACGGCACCAGCTTCCTGCCAGGACACAACGGCTTCCCAAAAACACGCGAGGACAACGAGTCCCACGTGTACGCCTCCATTGAGGACACTCTGGTCTACACGGACCTGCTGAGGAAGGGGGCAGAGATGGGGGTCTACGGGGAGTTTGACACAGACCGGCCCTTCACGGGGCACACAGACTCACAAAAGCCACTGGTCTGTAGCAACGCCGATACAGACGACATGCCAGTCGGGGCTTACCAGCAGTTTCAGGCTCCTCCACTTCCCGTCAGGCCCCCGAGTCACATCCAACCCCTGGTGGACAATGTGATTTACCAGGCTGGAAGTGAAGAGGATCGCTCTCCCAATCTGGGGCCGCGGCTGGAGCCGGAGGGAGGGAACTGAGGAGGAGATTGGATTGAGCTCTCTACTTTTCTCTTGACCTACTTGAACTTTGAGATATTCATTCCCTGGCATCCTTGTGATTACCCGCCTTGCAAGAAGCCGTTGTTTTTTTTTCTGTCGAGCGTAGTTTTGCACCAAAGCCACGGCACACTAAATAACCCTGTTGAAACCCGCCTGCAGCTCTTACCTTGTTTCATCTTTTATGAAGACGGAACATAATCATCCTCTTTACACCAGTTTTGCCGCTATGAAAAGATCTCGTTGTTACTTTTAGATAATTAATATTTTTCTATGATATATTTTGTACATATCACAGTTTTTTTTTACGCATGAGCAAACTCATGTGCTGCTTACATGCAGAGTTTTAAATTTCCATCATTAAACAGACGAATAGAGAGGACTCCACTGCTGCACTTTTATGGCATCATCACAACATGATGGCCTGTATTGCAGGAGATTGCAACAGCAGTGTACGGACTCGTATCGTTCTGTTGTTTATCACTGCTTTTACAGCAGCTATGGAGACTTCTACATACTGCCATGTGCCTTACAGAGAGGGCAATGCACTCCTGCTAATACAGTTTAGGATCTTAGTTGTTTTTCGTTTTGTAAAAGAAGAAAAAAAAAAAAGAGTGCTTTTGTTCTTTTTTTTGGACCCATTTTGGACTGATCTGCTGCTAGCTACGTGATGTGTTTCTGTGGTCATTCAGGGACTTGTTTTTGTTCTCTACTTGTGTCTCATGACGAATGACAATCCCTAGTCAGAGACCATGTTTTACTATTTGTTCTGAAGACCACAGATCCCTTCTGACATTAAAAAGCCTTTGTACAAACTTCATTACAGTGTGTGAGCAGAAAGTTATCTTTGTTGGTTGACTGAATTGTGATATTAATAGCAGGTAGCTTTTAAAAGAGACACTGCGACGCATATAATTTAACATGTGTGATGAGTGCTTGTGTGTTATTGTGAACACAGATCTAAAAGGTCATGGTACACAAGTCCTAACTACAGTGAGTCACAGTCAAGTAGAGGTTTTCCGTGCTGTTTTTGACATGAACTGGGACAGAAAACAATAACGGCATATCAAAATCTTTATCGATTTTGATATTATGGCTGACTAAGAAGATGCCAGAGTAGTTGGTGTCATTTGAAGAAAAGTGGGATTCAAGTTTTTACAATCAAACTGGTGAAAAATGCTGAATAAATTGTGTTTTTGTCTTGTTAAGCCATGTCCCATGTTCAGATAATGAACTGCAGAGGGAGACAGAGTTCCAAGTTGCCATACGTTCATTGTCACTCCTGAGGAAATAAAGTGTAAAACAATGCAAGAACTCTCTAAATGTGAAGTAACTGGGGTTAAGAGCGTGTAGAATATGACCCATGAATACTTAACAGGCTGATCGACCGACAGTGTTAAAGGAACTGAGATGACATGCTCTCTGACACTGCTGTTGACTATATCAGCGCATGTCCATGGTGACGTCCAAACATGTTTATCTGAGGTAACCATTAAGAGTGCCAACACAGAAATGAGGTTTTCATGATGGAATGTGTGTGTAGGGTGGAGACACAACTCATTGTACTCATTAATTGGGGACAGATGTTTTTAGAAAAGTAGGACCAGCAAACCTCCAGTACACACTTTTATTTTTCCTGACTTTGACCGTGGAGTATGTAAAGTGGTGACACTTGAGAAAGGAAAGGAGAAGACCTTCTAACCTTTCCTTCTGATGAGCAAAAGAGTCTCATTACATCGACTGAGTTTGTGAGCAAGACAATGCGAAGTCTACAACTGAGGAGACACATGTTTATTATATAATGTAATATAAGCAGCATAACTTTACATACAGTAATAGAAATAAAGAGGGCCTCAGAAAAGGCACTCGTGGCTATTGTTCTTCAGTAAAAGTAGTTTAATTGGATTGATTAGCAGATAACATAAAAATACATATAACAAAGACAAGCCATCCAGTGCTGTTTACCTTGATGAATATCTAAATATGCTGGAGCATTTGAGAACAGGACTTTATTGAATGTATGCAACATGTTTATCTTACACAATGACATACCGTATCCCAGACCAGCCATGCACATCTCTTGGGTCAAGAGCTTAAGAAAAGATGCAGCACGTACGCAAGCATTGCATACATTTACCTGATACTCTACATGTTTCATTCTTCTCTGCAAAAAGTATTCAACGTTCACATCAGTGTTTATCTTAACGTCAGACACCAGCCCTCAGATGATGTTGAACTCGCACACGGAAGCCTTTTCAGCTCGGCAGCTCTCATCGAACCACTTCCCGTTGGCTGTGGTGGAGAGGATGCCACAGTTCTGGCTGCGGCCTCCGTCCGGCTGCAGGGTGATCTCCGTCTCCCAGTTCTTGAAGCGCACGCTGGAGCCCGATTGGTCCACCCACTGGCCCTCGGTCACCATGTCATTGACGCCCAGCCAGATGTGCTCCTCTGGGCCGATGCTCTGACGTACGTAGTTGTAGAGCTGGTCGTTCTCGTCTCCTATGAGAGGAGTGCTCAGAGTGCCTCCCTTGGCGATGCAGTCCTCGCTGGCTGCGTGGAAGGTCTTCTTCAGCGGGTCAGCCAGGAAACACTTGCCGAGGACCTTGGTGCCTCGCAGACAAACTGAGAGGGAAATGAGGAGAAAGTCAGTGTGGCTCAGGTGTTATTGCTCTCCATCACTGGAAAGATGTTGAATTCTATTATATGTTGGTGCTGTTGTCCTTCTATTCTGATTCATTAACTAAATAGTTAAATATTCTTTCCCATAAAATGTAATTGTGTGATGTTTATGACAAATGTTTTTTCCAGGACAAATACCTGTGTGTAAAGCTTGCTGCTCTTTCAGCAAATTCAGCTCTTGAACAATGTCAGTAATCTGTTTCTTCAGCTCCTCAATCGCAGCACTGTTTGCAGAGTCTGTTGAAGAGGCAAAACAAGTGCGAAATGTATTCTACAGCACAACGCATTCGGTATCGCTGACGTGCTCTCACATAGTAGCTCAGTGTGGTTATTCTCATTACTGGACATTACTTTCATATCCAACGTCAAGTTAATAACCTACCTCTCTTTCCAGTTCTATTCTTTGATGAAGTCTGCTGCAACGTGCAGTGTGCCAGCAGGAGAAGGCAAAACATCAACATGTGAGCATCCATAACACCTGGAGAAATACTTTAAATCCACCGTAAAGAAACTGTTTTTGTTGCAGCAGCACAGAAAAAGCTCCTCGCAGCTCAGAGCTTTGGCCAGACAGAGGATGTGGTGTTTTACAAGCCCGGGGTGGCGGCACAGAGTTGAATGAGGAAATCTAATCTGAGAGAGAACAGATGTTTTACAGATGTTGGTGTTGCTTTTGAAATGCTGAAGGGAGATGGATGGTGAGCAGGGCTTTGCAGAGTTTAACAGACAAGCGTGACTCAGGTTCCATAAATTACAGCAGTCTGTGTGTGTGGTTTCACATCTGTTACATAAACATACTTCCATTTGTTCCCTCATCAATTATCTGCATCTGTCATGTACCACTTTATGAGCAACAAACAGTTCTGCCTTTTCTTAGTTGCTTGCTAAGTGAACGGTAGGTGTTTCCTGTTGTGACTCTGCTGAGGGCTCCGACAGGCCAGAGGTTGGATGTTTTGGGGGTTTCTCCCACAGCACTACATCTGGATCTCCTCAGTGAGCTGGACGAGGTGCAGCTGACACGTGGCAGAGACTTATATAATGAGACTGTTGTGAATTTGAAATCCGGTTACGTTTCATCCATGTTCTCTGTCAGGCTGGTCTTCACTAGAGAGTTTCAGTGATCTCTGCCAACACTGTCCTCTAAATGTTTAGCGACCGCATATTTCACTCTGAATACACACACCTCACAGCCAAATAACACATTAAAGTGATGCAATAAAGATATGCACTTCCAAACATGAGCAGATACACTCCATAATAACACAGGTTTTTATCTTGTATTCAAAGACAAACCTCTTGATAAAGAGAGTTTAGACTCCCTCTTTTTCTCCTCGATATTTATTAAGGGTCATTAGGGTCACTTATCTAAATCCATCGGTATTTAAATCATTCAGGGAAAGCCTTGTTACTTATCGACAAATGCAAATTACTTCAATAGGTTGAGTCGATATCTTCTGTAAACATGTAATATAATCAAATCTTTAGGATCACGGCTGAGTGTAGATTTGCAGGCTTGATGGTGTGAGCGATGATCCTGAGACACAGAGATGGCTGTTACAACCAATTTTGGAGCAAAGATCCAAAATGTGGATGCAAAGATTAAGCACAAGGTGTCAGCTGGCGACCAACCACTGAGGACTGTCAACGGTCTGGCAGAGAGACGGGGAAGATCCAGGTTTTATAAACCGAGGTTGATGAGACTGATGAAAGGCAGGTGTGCTGGCTGGGTGCATGGTTGACGAGCTGATGAACCACAGGTGAGTAAAATAGACCAAAGAGCTGAGTAAGGAAAACCACTCACACACACACAGGGAAAATGATTGAACCTTTTTTCTCCAAAACCCCTAGTTTATATCTATATATATATATATATATATATATATATATATATATA